TTCTTGACTGGTTGTTTCTTGTGGGGTATCTTCTGGTCCAACCTCGGCCTCAACTGCATCATCAATAGGGGTCTGGGAAACTTCCTCCAAAAATTCTGCCCTAAGATTAGAGGCATCAAGCTCCGGGCAAAGCTCCCCAACCCTTTCCACCACTTTGGCATAGGCGAACCTCCTCCAATAAGCACTGAAACACTGATACTCTTCAGTAAAGTGGAAGTTGGCAATGTAATTTTTCACCACCTCTTCTCCTGCCATCTGAGCATCAGCCTTGCACTACTCAGCCTCATTTACGTAATGCCTTATTTGGGTATCTAAGAACCCATTTGCATCCTTGAGCAGTTGAGCCCAACGACCTCCAGGTTGCATCCTTCGCAACCTCTTCATCGACCTCCCTCACCTTCTGGGCCTTGGCAGCAGTAAATGAAGCCTGCTGTAGCTTGGGATGTGGAGATAGAGTCTACTGAGTAGGTGAAGCAATAGTTTATCCAAACTTCCCAGACGAACTGGTGGAGTGGGATAACTTCCTCTTTTTCTTGGGTTCCTCCACTTTTCCCTTGCCCTTATAAGTCCATTGGGCCCCTTCTTTCTCACTTGTCTCAGCATGCTCCTTACTGAGGCGTTCTAGTTTGCCCCTGACGTGCTTCGCACCACCAGATGAGGGCTTTAAAACATTGGCATTTACGGTAGAAGTAGCTCGCTGAGTTGACGCTATGTCAGGAGGGTATTTATTCTTCCCAAAGTACTACAAAAAAAAAAAATGTTAACACTCAAGCAATGTATCAAACAAAGGGAATCAGAATCTACCTTTTGAGGTCATTAGTCCGAAGTCCAAAAAGAACTTACTTCGGTTGATGAGGCGGTCGAAGTGGTGTGACCTCTGTGGACATTGGTAAATATCTTCAATAACTTCCCACTTAACTTAAGTTCGAAACGAGACCCTGCAACTGCACAATGAAGGGCATCAAACAAGTAATAAATGAAAAGAAGAAACCAAATTGTAGAAACTAACTCACGGGCTTTAGAGTGCTGGGTCAGCACAGTGCAAACTGGATCTTTGCCCCCCTCGACAATCTGCCACTTGCCTTTGACCCAAAACCAAGACTCATTCCAACCCTTTATAGATATGGCAGACCCACTACAAAAGGGACATGAGCCCCCCAAGGGGTCATATAGTACCACCATTTAGACACCTCCTTCCTAAGGACTCATGGTTGTAAAAGTGTTTGGAAGACGTGGATGGGCATATCCTCGCGAAGCGAGGTCTCCTTTCGGAGAAAATATTCCCCAACCTACTGGCTTCACCCACTTGGCAACAACTGGGTAGGAGCCAACATGTAAGACCTCAGTACCGTCCTAAAAATGTGTGCAGTGGTAGACGTACATTTGATCTAAGGGGAAACTCACTTATGGCCACACATCCCAGCCTCGGGTAGTAGGCACATTTGTGGGCTTTGGGCACTAAGAGTTCTATGGAATTTGGGATTCTAAATTTCTCCCTAATTTCAGCCAACTTTGTGGAGGTCATCATAGAAAGGATTCTAGCAGCCCCCAACCTACCTCGTAATCTATGGGATCCTCATTCATTACCCAATAACATTCGTCCAACCCTCCGGACAAAGCTTGTTGCCCAACCCTAACGACGGTGACCTTACTACCACTGGCACTTGACCCAAACACCATTAAAATTGAAGAAAGAAGAAAACAACAAATGGAAAAAATGGGAAGATAAAGGATTCAAGAAAAATTACCTAAGTGAAAGAAGACTAGGAACGTGACGTCGCTGGAGAACAAGAACAAACTGGAGAAGATTTTTGATTGCAAGAGGAGTTTTGAAGTTTTCAAACGTGAAGAAAGTGACTCCAAGACTAATTTTTGCTTTTATAGGAAGAAGTTGACGAAGCTTAGCCGTTGGATTTAGATCCCCTTCATCTGAAGCTTTAATTATCAAGATTCATCTTAGACGTTGAATTTAAACAGTTTTTGTTGACTAAGCTTTGGATTAATGCTTGTTTCTTACACATGAGCCTCAACACATCGATCTTAACTTGCGACAACTTGGCCGCCATCATTGTGCATTTAATATGAAACGGTCATACGTGAATTGGAAGTCGAAACGCCTCAATTGTCTATCATTGAAAATATGCAAAAACATCAAATCAATTGCATGATTATCCATAACATATTTTGTTGACAACTAAAAAGGAGCCTCGGCAGTTCAGCACTCCCTGCTTCGGCTCAAAATCATAAAGTTCGGCTACAACCAAAAAGGAGCTTCAGCAGTACAACACTCCTTGTTTCAGCTCAAAATTATAGAGTTCAGCAGCCATGTAGGAAGCTTTAGCAGTTCAACTCTCCCTTCGATTCAATAGTTAAGTTTCGGTGAGTTAATTTCATATGGGAATCATGTTCAGCATCAAACTCCAACTATGACATAAATATCTATACTTGGATTTGGGGGATTATTGTTACGTCAAAATGGCCGAAGCCCAATTAGCCATGGCTGAAGCCCCATTAACCCAATGGCTGAACCCAATCGTGAAGAGCCCATCTTTGGAGAGTTGCCTCATTGCCAAGGCGTCATCTTACCGAAGCCTAGAATAACCAAAAGATTCTTGACAATGCCCCTCAATTCCGTCGAAGCCCTTATGATGAAGCTATGTACAAAGCTCAATGAAGAGGAATTCGAAGCTCAATAGTGGCAAATGATGACCCGCATTCGAAGATCTTAACATGGGAAAATCCTTTTAGAATGATTGATTGAGTTATTGTACTAAGTAAAAGGTCTGTTTTGTCAGTATAAAATATGTGTTAGCCATCTCCTTTTAGGGTATTTAAGGTGCCCCAGGCTAGCGAGTCAAAAGTGATGCCTAGAATGTGATTTTTTGGTTAAGGAGATGAAGCCATGTGTCCTATCATCCAATGGTTGTTGTTGTACATGCAATACTATAAATAGATCCCATTTGTGCCATTACCAAGGGGATGATAAAAAAAAGTTTAATATTCAGATCTCATTTTCTCTATTTTCCTAAAGATATAGTCTTTCAAAAGTCTATCATATATTTACCGGAGCCTGAACATATTTGTCTCGTGTCAAAAAGCTTCTCCCACATTCAAACCCGTATCACATTTGACTAGTAACATGTCAACAGGTGTTGGAATTAGCTTGTGAAGACACGAGTAAGCCCGATATCTGTTGGCGCATTTTTTATGGTCAACACAACCCATTAAAATGAAGTAGGCTTTCAAGCCAATTTAGAGTTAATAGCGCAAATTCTAAATAAAACAAAAGCAAAATTGATAAATAGAATATTATATTTTTTTAGTGGAAATGTTAAAGCTAGTTGTTGACCCCGAAAAATAGACCGACATGTGGCCAACAAAGAACAGCTTCACGTAGGCTCTTTGAGCGCTTGTAACACACCGTTACTCGCTCGTTGCCTTTTCTGGTGATGGTGAAAACGGCCGCAAGCACTCCGACGATCAAGTCGGTAAGGTGATAAACCAAAGTCGAGAATTTCAGTAGCGATGATTGCTGGAATGTGGATATCACAATAATATGGGGAGGAGATGGTGTATAAAATAGTTGGAGTTGCATTACCTTTTCAAATGGTGCAAATGTGAATATTTATAATAAAAGAGGTGAAGAAAAAATCGTTAGATGCGAGGCAAGTGGGTGCTCAACTCCTGGCCAAGATGTCCTCTCATAGAAATCAACAATCATTCCATAGATGAGCAGACATTTAGTTCATTTGACACTGTAATGTTCAACTTGACATTTTGGCTCCTACTGCACAATTGTCCCCATCAATCAGTTAATAAGGATTCAATTTTGGGTAGATCTTTGTATAAAAGATCTCCTAGCATGTTGAAATAAAGCGTCGTGACTTATGGCACATGTAGCATATCACCTTGTCACTTCAGACTTATGTTATCGCTAACTGCTCTTTCTCTTCGTCAATTCAAACTTCGATGTAGTGACATGGCAGATGATGTGAAGTGCAAGCCTGGCATCCGCCATGTGGCTAATAATTTGGAGCCTCTTTAGGAGAGGTGCAACACTAGAGAAAACTAAAAAGAGAGAATTGGTTTGTTGAGGAACCATCTGAAAGCCTTCAATTTGAAGAATGAGATTAGCATATTCTTCTCTCAGTTATACTACAATTAGGAAAAAATTGACAGAATTTTTACAAAATAACACTTGACAATTTTTCATTGATTTTGGATCCAATAATAGCACAAAATGCACACAGCACCTATATTCTTTTCATGAATAAGTCCATGTACGGAATTATTCTTCCTTTATATTTTTGAACTGGAATTGTCTACTTGTACATAATAATATGTACATTAAGGTATCCACCCTCTCACATGAGGGTGGAACCCACTTGAATAAAAAATATTATCTCCAAGTGAGCTCCACCCCCATGTGAGAGAGTGGACACCTTGATGTACATATTATTATGTACAAGTAGCAATCTTTGAACTTTGCCAGCTCTTTACTTCAAATCCTTTCACATTCAAGTTTTTCGTTCTGAGAGACTTCGGTGCAGATTTGTAGATTCCCATTACTATTTTTAGTGCATGTTCGGGAAGTGATTAACTTATAATCTAAGCTGGCCAAACATACTTATTATCCGCACAAAGCAAGAAAGACACTCTTTAACTAGTTCACCATTGCATTGGGAATAACTCAAGTGATTGCATAGCCTAAATTTAGCCAACAATCGAACACCAGCTGAGAATTTTTCTTGTTTTAGCTAAATAATAGTTTTCAAACTCTGGAGACGATCTATATAAGGTGAAGATTGTGGACTATAATTCTGCGCAACTGGCATCAGGAGATCCAGATCCGTGACACATTAAAGAGCTACAATCTTACAACAATTAAATGAGAAATTATCCCAATTTGTTGGAATTACAGGGGTAAGCTTTTATTTAGAAACAGGAACACACACACACACACACACACAAAAGGGAGACAATGTCATCACCCTATTGATTTAGAGTTGGACTGCAGTGGGTTTGTAGTCAACAACAATGACTTTCTCCAATTGAGGAAGTAACATATTTGCATATTTAACGTGGTCCGCATGAGTAACATACTCGGCGATGCCTTCTGTACTTTCAAAGGTTGACTCAAAGACATGAGTAAAACCTTGATGCATGTTCTCAATGCTCACGTCCTTGCCCCTATGACAACCAAAACCAGATGAGAGTTATAAGTTTGGACCTTCACAATATTGATTACTCATTACCATATAATACTTGCAAGTTGCAATGATTGATCACTCATTCATTTGCAGACCAAAAATCTGATAATTTATGCATAACTGAACGAAATTGAAAATAGAAACTGGCATCCCACAACCACATAGGAAAACCACTGTCACAACATGCAGTCAGTATTACTCTCAGAGGAACTACCATACACAGGCACCACAAGGCTCTGGACATCACCATAAGCTTCTCAAGATCAACAGCACAAACATCAAATATTGCCACGCTACTGCCACTAGATTAAGCATGAAACCAAGAGTCTAAAGACACTTTTCTAGAATCCGGTTACACAATCTTGCTATAATGTTTTCTATATCATTGGTAGACAGACCCAAATCCAAAACAAGAAAACAAGTAAAATCCACAACAAAATTTCTGATAAGCCATCAATTCGCTTCACATACGCCAGACAAAGGAAGAAACAGAGATGCTAGCCAAAAGGGGGTTTAAACAGAGACAAGGGGGAGGGTTTTTAATGAAGCTTCTGGATTAATTTAGGCATCAAATAAAAGGGGGTTGGGGGGATTTCTGTTGGGCACCAAAAAATTGAGAGACTGTTGTGAGGGAGAGCATTGAACCTCACAAAGGCCTAAACATTGTTTTGTATTCATTTTCCTTTTGTACTTTCCAATATAACAAACTGATTGAAATTCATTCGTTCCACAATACGTTTTTTTTCTTATTAATACAACGACCACTCGGGTTTATGTCAATGTCAGTTTTCTGGGCAATCAATAAAATAATACAGGTAAAAAACACAAAGCCCTCTCTTGTTAAAGGAAAATGTCAAGTTACCTCCTGTTTCAGAAATAGGCAAACCCATGTTATGAAAAACTGAGTATTTTGTACCATATAGTCAACTGCTAAATGAGCACAACCTTTTTTTTACGAAGAACTCCTTCCATTCTTGTGCAATGGCAAACTGCCAAGGTTCAGCATGCAAAAACCACCAACACTGAATCACCACACTGGACCACATTACTAAGAATGGAAGAACCCATCAAAGAAATAATTTGCAAAAGGAAGAAAAAATGAACATAGACACTATATTAATGGAGGAATGCAGTGCTCTCGTCTGTGATAATTAATCAAACAAAGCCCTCCCAGGATATTATCAGATCTACATACATTATCCCAAAGCAAACTAGAATTTTTTTTCATCTTTTACCATTTAAATTTAATCATGTTGCTGAATATGCATCTCATCTCTAGGTTTATAAGCTCTAATTCTCCTTTTTGAAATTTCGGATGGGACTACCCCAAATCCGTCTTTGGCGTGGTAGTTATATATAAAAAAAAAAAAATTCCAGAGTTAATGTTGATAGCGGTTTGCCATGATCACACAATTAAAGCAGAACCTAGCATAAGCATAGCAGAATCTAGCATAAACAACTAGATAAAACCCCAGATCTGTAAAGTAAAGATCTTAAAGACATCATTAATTTAACCCATTAAAAAGAAGCAAATTTACAAGCCAGATTACAATTAACAGCAGAATTTCTGAAGAGAATATTGATACAGTTGGGTAGAAATTAGATAAAAATCATAACTCAGTGAAACAGAAAATAAAATTGGGGGTTGGTGAAGGTACCATCTGAAAGCCTTCATGGAAGGAACAAGATTGACGAGGCTAGCATATCCCTTAATGATTTCTTCAATCTGCTCCTCAGATAGGCCATCTTTAAACTTTGCCAGCAGTATGTGCTTCACTACTTTGCCTTCCTCCATTCCCTTCTCTGCGGCGCCTCTGTGCGTTTGTTCGTATGAAATCGCCTTTATTTTCTCCAATCAAATTAATTATTTAGGCCCATTTCTCCTCAAGCCCAGCCCAAGTTTTAAAATGGGACCCAGCTTTCTTCCCCTCACTCCCCTCATCTTATGATTCTTATCTCTCCCAAAATCCAATCCAGAAAGCACGCACCTCCTCTACTCTACTCTACTCTACTCTCAATTAGTATTTTTGTGAATATTGATTGAAAGATGGCATCTTTTGCACAGCAATTTGGTGGGTTAAAGAGCCCGCCAATCTCATCTACGCTCCCCAGCTACTCTTCCAAGAATCGTCACTGCACAGTGCTGCCAAGAAAGAGAATTGCGGTGTCAGCTGCTGCAGTGCCCATCACAAATGCACAGACAAGGGAGAGAACGAAGCTCAAAGATATGTTTGAGGAGGCCTATGAGAGGTGTCATACGGCCCCCATGGAAGGCGTTTCATTTACCATTGAAGACTTCCATTCTGCTCTTGAGAAGTATGAATTCAACTCTGAAATTGGAACCCGGGTGAGAATTTTATATTTTTCAAATTGGAAGGCGTTTCATTTACCTACTTGTATATGAATGAATTATGAGAGAATATTATAAAAATTGAATCTTTTTCAGTGATATATTAATAAGCTTTACATATTTTGGGGTGTGTATAGTTTGTTTCTGTATATGAATTATGATGGTGTGCATAAACAAGTTTGTCTTTGATTGGATGTGCTCGAATAAGATTTTGTCTGATCATTGTTTGTACTTCAGATGGGATATGGCTGTGTCTATTCTTGTGAATTTTTCTGTTTTTGGTTTTTCTACATCAAGATTGAATTGTTTCAAGTTTGGGTAAGCTTAGAGGCACTTCCAAAAAAGCGTTTTAGTTTAGCAAAACATGCTCAAACAATAGACAAGGGACTTCTTCTCTGATATGGAACCATCATGAGAAATGTGTGACTTTTAATTACTTGATACATGAGCCTTTCTTGTGTGGTTTTTGTTGATGTGTTGAGATTGCATTATGTATCATTATGTGAATTTGGAACCAAGGATAAATTTTAGTCATGCTTATTTAGAGATCAAAAGATGTATTGTAGGTTTTGTATAAATGAGTTGCTGGGAAGAGTCAAGTCAAACCAAGAGGATGCCATCCAGATTCTTTATTTTATTTTGTTAAAATTAATTTTCTATGCTTAAACAAATGGATGCTTTAGTTGACAAGTTGAGTTGAACAGTGAGTTTTATGCGTAAATTTGAGCCTGAAAGTGTGACACATGATTGTAATTATTCCTTTTCTCGCTGAGATTTTGGCCACGTAAAAGTTGGACCTCTAAAGAGGAATTTGTGAAAATCTCGAAAAGATGGGTGAATTTGATAGAAGTTTTCTTGTAAATTGGATTAGAATTTGGGATGTTTGAATTGGCTAGATGCTTACGATGTATATGTCTGGTGTTGGCTAAAATTAAATTCTACAAAAGACATGTTCTTTTGATAATTCCAATATGTATTCGATTTGCCTATGAAATTGTTAGATGATCATATTGTTGGGCATATTGTGCCCCCTTGTTTCTTGAAATACATGAGGCTGGTTAATATATGGGCCAGCTGTGACTAATGTTTTCGCGAATGAAACAACAATCTGTCTTTTCAATTTATTTTTTTTTTGCTCGAGTTCCATTCTTCAGCATTTTTTGTCGACAACAGCATTATCTTATTCGGTGTGGGTTCACTCATATAAGTTGAAGCATCCATGGATATTACAAACAAGATTTTTTATATTGTTATTCGGGATGCAAAATGAAGACAAGTTCAGATCCAAAAGTCTGCAGGGAAGGAAGGATTTTTCTCTGCAAGCTTCTTTTGTGGTGTGGATGAATTTAGTGCGTTGGCATTATCAATAGAACGTGTTTTGATATCTATATTTGACAATAGAGTATCTGCTTTAATCGAGCAATTTTTTCTTCTTCTACTATTTTAGTAGATTCAATTGAGCTTGTGTGGAAAAGGAAGGGTAGTTTTTTGTAAAAGCATTAGTCCCCCTACTTTTATATCATCTATTTCTTGTACTGAGAATCATTTCACTAAAAAAAACAAAAAAACAAAAAAATCAACATTTACACAATTTCTTTCGCTGAAGGTTATGAGTATTTTAAACATACTTTGATAGATTTTTATTCTTTTTGTAGGTCAAAGGAACAGTTTTTAATACGGATGCAAATGGAGCATTAGTTGACATAACTGCAAAATCGTCAGCACACTTGCATGTGCAAGAGGCATCCATATATAATATTAAGCATGTGGAACAGGCTGGCATTTTTCCTGGGTTGCGCGAGGAATTCGTAATTATTGGTGAAAATGAGGTGGATGATAGTTTAATCTTGAGCCTACGTGTAATCCAGTACGAACTTGCTTGGGAACGTTGTAGACAACTTCAAGCCGAAGATGTGGTTGTTAAGGGGCTGGTAGGTAATTGACAAGCATTAAAATTTTCTAGTATGGTGAGTTGATTATGGTAGACTATGACACATTGTTCTCTGCCTCTCGTAATATTATATTTGAGAGTGTTTGCAAGTATTAGCCTTCAGGATAGCTTACACTGATAATGCCCAGCAGTTACAATCTGATGTGCCTAAATACTCATTTCTTCTTAAACATTTCTATACTATAAATACTGCATTTCAAATTTCTTTGGATTTGGATGCAGGTTGCTGGCGCAAATAAAGGTGGAGTGGTGGCAGTGGTGGAGGGACTTCGTGGATTTGTTCCCTTTTCACAAATATCAACAGTTAGTTCTTCATTTGGCTTGCCCATGAATCTTTATATGAAGCAATCTGCTCTCTTGTTCTCTTTCTCCCAATTGAAGTGCATTATAACTTGCTTGCAGTTGTGAAGTGTGAAATGTTTCAATCGATGCCTCCTGCAAATGTGGCCGTTATAAATCTTAACTTTCACAGAGACTAATTAATTTGTCATAAATTATTCTTTCCCAAAGTTGATGCACAAAAAGTTATCCCCTGGACTATTTGTTCGTGTGTTGATCATGATTATACGAATTCCAGGGTGAATGTGAGACACAATAGTGGCAGCATGCTTGTTCTCAGTAGATGATAAAGTTTCTACATCGCTCTCTTAACTTAAGAACGTGTGGATCCTTCAGTGACGGAGTGTTATGTGGTTTTAAACATTGAATCTATTTTGCAAGGAGTGAGCATAATGTAATTCAAAGATAAAAAGTATTGAAGATGAGGAGAATTATTTGATGTGTTAAGAATATAGGGTTATTATATATTATTGTTTATTAAGGGTAGAATAGTCTTTTCAATTTCCTTTATTTAGCCTATATATAGTCTCTTTGTTTCTAGGTTAAATAATTCCTTTTAGTATTCAATTACATTATGTAGAATTAATAAAACCCTAGCCTCCTTTTTCCTTTTCTTTATTTCTTTGAATTGTTTAACATGATATCAGAGCGATTTCGATCCTAAACAAATTAACTTTTGAATTTCATTTCCGGCGAGTGGTCTGGAGCCGCTCGTCCGGCTACTAATCTTGTTTTTCTCTTGCATCACATTCCGGTGGTCTGGTGCAACTTTCTGGAGAATTTCTTCTTGGGTTCCGTTCGTATCCAAACAATAAGGCCTTCCTGCTCACTTAACGGTTTCAATGGGTCTCAGAACTGAGAGATTATTGGTGTAAATGGAGTTGGGATTGGCTTTAAGCCTATTAACTTTAGTGTGGAATGAAAAGCCAAAGATAGAGTCGGCTAAAGCTCCATTACAACACCACC